CACAGTCCTCCCCTTGCGCAGCAAGGGTGCTGTCACTGAGGTGCTGATCGACTGGATCCGCGAGGCTCGTCTCCAGCTCAGGAGGAGCTTCGGCTCGGACTTTCCTGTTCTGCGTCTGCACTCGGACAGAGGCGGGGAGTTCTCCTCTCGCCTTCTGCGAGACTACTGTCGTGCACGGGGGATCCGCCAGACCTTCACGCTTCCGGACTCTCCACATCAAAATGGGATTGCTGAGCGCCGCATTGGCATGGTCATGGATGTCGCTCGTACGTCCATGATGCATGCGGCTGCCCCCCATTTTCTGTGGCCGTTTGCGGTGAGGTACGCGGCGCATCAGCTCAACCTTCACCCCAGGGTCTCTCGGCCCGCGATGTCCCCAGTGTTACTGTGGACGGGGAAGGTCGGCGATGCGTCTGCGTTACGTGTCTGGGGATCTCGGGCGTTTGTCTGCGGACAAGCTGTCCCCTTGTGCTGCTCCCTGTGTCTTCCTTGGCTTCCCCCCTGACGCTCCAGGGTGGCAGTTCTACCACCCCTCCTCTCGTCGTGTTCTGTCCTCCCAGGACGTCACGTTCGACGAGTCAGTCCCCTTCTACCGCCTCTTCCCCTACCGCACTCCTTCCCTTCCCCCACCACCGGACTTCCTTGTGCCGGTTCCCCCCCCGGTAGACCCCCCCCCCCCTCAGGTTCCTGCCCCCTCAGGTGTGTCCCAGGTAGACGCAGTTGACCCGGTCGAGGTTACTGGTGACTCTGGTGCTGCTGCGGGTGCTGAGCCTGGGGGTGCTGACTCTGGGGGTGCTGTGCGCGGGGGTGCCGAGCCTGGGGGTGCTACTGCGGAGGGTGCTGGGCCTGGGGGTGCTGACTCTTGGGGTGCTGTGCGCGGGGGTGCCGAGCCTGGGGGTGCTACTGCGGAGGGTGCTGAGCCTGGGAGTGCTGAGCCGAGGGGTGCTACGCCTGGAGCTGCTGAGCCTGGGGGTGCTGCGTCTGGGGCTGCTGAGCCTGGGGTTTCTCCTGGTGCTGCGTCTCGGCGAGAGCCCCTCTCTCCACAGGAGCTGCGCGAGTGGTTTGCTCGCCGCTGGAGGCGTGCTGCTGGAGCTGGAGCTTCTTCGACCGTCGAGGGTGCTGGTGCCGCCGGTCCCGGAGCTGCTGGGCCTGCGGGTCCTACTGGAGCTGGGGCTGCTGAGGTTGTTGGTGCTGAGACTACTGCTGTCTGTCCTCGCGGTGGTTCTCCTGCTGGTGCTGCTGGAGGTCCAGCCGCTGGAGGTGTTGGTGGTGCTGGTGCTGCCGCTGAGGGTGCTGGTGCTGTCCCTGCTGAGTCTGGAGCTGCCGCGCGGCCTCGACCGTACTTCGTTCCGCTCCTGCAGCAGGTTCTTGGTCTTTCTCCTCCGGTAGAGTGTCCACAGCCTGTCCAGTCGCAGTCACTGTTGGAGCCTTCCTCCCCTCTACCTGCTCCCTCTCCTTACACTGGTCCTACTGGAGGTCTTGCTGAGCGTCGTGAGCTTGCGTCTCGTCCCGCGTCGCCTGTTCGTGCTGCTCGCGCTAGTGGTCGCGGTTCGCGTCAGCGTCCTCCTCCTGTCCCTGGCACGCACCGGATGTCTCTGCGTCCGTCCACTGCTCCTCTGCGTGCCCCTTTGCCTTCTCCTCCTGAGTCCTCTCTTCCTGCGCTTGCCGACCCTGAGTCGGACTCCCTTCGTGCTGCCAGTCCTACTGTCACGCGTCTGCTTGCCACTGTCGTCACTGACCCCTCGTTTGAGTCCACTGCTGCGTCTGCTCTTGTCGCTGAGCTCGTCGACTTTGCTGCTCGCTGTCGTCTAGACTACGCTGCTAGTCTTGTTGCTGAGTCTGCGTCTGTCTGTCCTCCGTCCGTCGGGGGTGAGTGTGCTCTTGGCACGGACGTCCTAGAGGACAGGCAGGAGGAGTTACAGTGTCTGGCTGCTGCTTCACCTCATCTCGCGTCTGTACTGCTTGCTCCTGAGGGAGACCCGGATGCACTAGACATCTCGACTCCGCGCTCTTACGCGGAGGCCGTAGAGGGTCCCTACTCCTCTCAGTGGCAGGCAGCTATGGATGCAGAGATGGCTTCCTGGAAGTCCACAGGCACCTACGTTGACGCGGTTCCCCCTCCTGGGGCGAACATCGTCAGTGGCATGTGGATCTTCAGGGTGAAGCGGCCGCCGGGCTCTCCACCTGTCTTCAAGGCGCGGTACGTTGCTCGTGGCTTCAGTCAGCGGCAGGGAGTTGACTACTTTCAGACCTTCTCTCCCACCCCGAAGATGACCACTCTTCGGGTGCTGCTGCACATAGCCGCTCAGCGCGACTACGAGCTTCACTCTCTCGACTTCAGCACTGCGTTCTTGCAGGGTAGCCTGCACGAGGAGATCTGGCTGCGCCGTCCACCTGGCTTCACTGGGACTTTCCCTCCTGGCACCCAGTGGAGCCTCCGACGGCCAGTCTACGGTCTCCGCCAGGCACCGCGTGAGTGGCACGACACACTGAGGACTACGCTTGCGGCTCTTGGGTTTGCTCCTTCTACTGCTGACCCGTCGCTGTTTCTGCGCACCGACACTTCACTGCCGCCGTTCTACATCCTCGTGTACGTCGACGACTTGGTCTTTGCCACAGCGGACACTGCTGGACTCGCCTACGTGAAGTCCGAGCTGCTGAAGAGACACACGTGCACAGACCTGGGTGAACTGCGCAGCTACCTTGGCTTGCAGATCACTCGGGACAGAGCACGCCGCACCATTACCTTGACTCAGTCACACATGGTGAAGCAGGTCCTTCAGCGCTTCGGCTTCACGTACTCCTCGCCTCAGGCCACTCCTCTGTCTACCCGCCACTCACTCTCAGCTCTGCCTTCGGATGAGTCCGTAGAGTCGAGTGGCCCGTACCCAGAGCTTGTTGGCTGCCTCATGTACCTGATGACCTGCACACGACCTGACCTTGCATACCCTCTGAGCATTCTTGCACGCTATGTTGCTCCTGGGAGACACCGACCAGAGCACATGGCTGCAGCGAAGACGGTATTGCGCTACCTGTGCAGTACGTCGGGCATGGGGCTAGTGCTTGGAGGGCGGAGTCCAGTGGTCCTTATAGGTCACGCGGACGCTTCTTGGGCTGACGACCAGGCTACGCAGCGGTCGTCACAGGGTTACACCTTCAGCCTTGGTCCCGGATCTGTCTCGTGGCGGGCTACTCGTTCGTCTTCGGTTCTCAGCTCCAGCTGTGATGCTGAGATCTACATAGGGGCCATGGCTGCACAGGAGCTTCGCTGGCTCACCTACCTGCTGACTGACCTTGGAGAGCCGCCTCGTTCTCCTCCAGTGCTGTACGTAGACAACAAGGCCATGCTGGCCTTGTGTCGAGAGCAGCGTCTGGAGCACAGAACGAAGCACATTGCTCTCCGCTATTTCCTTGCTCGTGAGCTACAGCAGCGTGGACAGTTGCGGCTTGCGTACGTGGCCTCTGAGGCCAACACTGCTGATGTGTTCACCAAGGCACTCGCGCCTTGTGACCATCAGCGCTTCTGCACCCAGCTGGGTCTTGTGCCTGTCTTGCCTCACTTGCTCTCCTCTTGACTTTACTTGTACTGTGACATATATATACCTGCTCTTGCTTGTCTAGCTTTATATATATGTCTGTACTCTTGCATGTGAACTGGCCTTTGGCCTTGCTCTTGTGCTCGGACTGTGTGGTGACTTTGTGATCCACCCTGAGCTTTGCTTTGCTTTGCTTGACTGGTCTTGTGACCCCTTGTTCTCCCCTACTTTGCCTATGGGGGTGTGTCAGAACATATATATAGCTTATACTATTGTGTAGGCTGTAGTGGGGTATCCCATAGGGGGTACAACCAGTTAGGGTTTCCTATTTGTACTCACTTCATTCATAGTTCATTCATTCTCGTTCTATTCTCAACACCACACACCCACCCCCCTCAGCGGCAGCTGCAGTAGTGGGAGACAGAGGAGGAGGAGGAGCAGGGGAGACCACACACCCGCCACCCCCTACTCGCCACCCCCAAACCCTAACACAGGGCAGGGCGGGATGGCGGGTAGGGAGGTTACGGGGGGGGGGGGGGAAGGGGGGGCCGACGCGCGGCCTCCCAGGGCGCCAAAGCAGGCGGCAGAAGGGGCGACGCTCGCCCCCCCCCCCCCCAGGTCGCCCCTCCCGTCGCTTGTCGAGGCGACCTGAGGGGGGCCGCGGGGGCGGTGCACGTGCCCCTGGTGCGCTGCGACAGGCGACGGAGCATGGCCGGGGCGGGGCCGGGACAGGGTCGAGGCAGGGCCGAAAGGGGCGGCGACGGGGCCGCAAGGGGCGGCGACGGGGCCGCTGGAGGCGGCGACGGGGCCGATAGGGGCGGCGACGGGGCCGTGAAGGGGCCGCGAGGGGCCTGGAAGGGCGGCGACGGGCCGCTAGGGGCAGCGACGGGGCCGCGAAGGGGCCGCGAGGGGCCTGAAAGGTCGGCGACGGGGCCGTTAGGGGCGGCGACGTGGCCGCAAGGGGCGGCGACGGGGCCGCTGGAGGCGACGACGGGGCCGATAGGGGCGGCGACGGGGCCGCGAAGGGGCCGCGAGGGGCCTGGAATGGCGGCGACGGGCCGCTAGGGGCGGCGACGGGGCCGCGAAGGGGGCCGCGAGGGGCCTGAAAGGTCGGCGACGGGGCCGTTAGGGGCGGCGACAGGGCCGCGAAGGGGCCGCGAGGGGTCTGGAAGGGCAGCGACGGGGCCGCGAGGGGTGGCGACGGGGCCGCTAAGGGTCGCGCGAGGGGCACTCCATGGGGCGTGCAGCACACAGAGTAGCAGCGGAAGCAGTTAGTTGGGCCCACAGGCCAGGAGCGTAGATGCTCTAATAGCATGTTGGAATGAGCAATGAAGAAGAGAGGGGTTGCACTAGCAGCAGTTGGCATACATTTAGGAAACCCTAATTGGGTTGTACTCGCTATAGAGTACCCCACTGCAGGCTAGACAATTATAACATTCTGACACGGCAGAGGGGATAAGGGGCATGGCGGTGACGCAGACAGACTCTATAGAGGACGAGTTTCAACAGGGCTTGCAGGTGCGTGGGGCATTCACCCAAGCATGCACCACGCAACCATGCTCCACTCCCCATCCCCATTGCTCCATACCCCATGCCCGATACCCCGTGCCCAGTGTCATGCCCCGTGCCCAATGCCCCACGTCCCATGCCCCATGCTCTGTGCCCCATGCTCTGTGCCCCATGCCCCATGCGCCATGGATGGTAGGAGGTGGGGGAGATGAGGGACAAATACGAACGCCTGCTAGCAGTCGTGGCGGACGCACAGGAGAGAGCAGCAGGTGCGCTCTTGGGTGGACGTTGAAGCGTGTGCAGTTGAACTAGTACTCAATCCTTCCTTGCACCCCCACCCGCTCTCGCTTCTCTCTGTCCGTGCAAGCCCAGCCCCACCGCATGCTCACATCCCTCGCTGCATCCCCCCCCCCCCCCTCTCCCCTCATTACCGCATGCGTGCCACCGCCACTCGCTCCTTCGCCATCCACTTTGCACGCCCCGCCACCCTACCTCTCATCCCGCCCCTCTCTTTCCCCCCTGCGCGCATCAGAGTGTGCGGAGGCGCTGCACCAGCTGGCGGCGGTGGTGGCGGACGCCTTTGGCGGAGTGGAGGAGGGCGGCGCTGGGGACACCCTCCTGGCCGCCGCCGCTGTCGATGGCCGCTTAGCTGAGTTTCTCTACTTCCATATGAGCTGCTCTACTTCCATGTGAGCTGCTCTACTTCCATGTGAGCTGCTCTACTTCCATGTGAGCTGCTCTACTTCCATGTGAGCTGCTCTACTTCCATGTGAGCTGCTCTATTTCCATGTGAGGGAATCTGCTTCGCCTTTCAATTCTTCCACTTCCCTTCTCCCCACTCCCATCTCACTGCTCACCCCTTTTCCTTGTGTCTGCCAACCCCCCGCCGCCCTCTCGTCTCCCCCATGACACATGCCCACATGCCCTCAGAGCTTGCACTTGCAGCAGACACTGGCGGAGCCGGCAGAGGCGCTGCCGGGGGAGATGCAGCACGTGGTGGTGAGATGCAGCAGGAATGAGCGATAGGTATCCTGTGAGATTGATGTGGCCTTCCCTTGGCGAGTGTTGCGGGCATTACATTTGTCATGTGGTGTTAGCTTTTTGAAGATTCTGAAGTGAATAATAATGCCTAGCTTATTTAACTAACACAAAAGCCGAACTTAAAGGTTGTGGAAGCTTGTTATACCAAAGAGGAAGCATTAGTGGGCTAGCATCAGTTGGACAGACCAGCTTTCACCTCTCATCCCACATCTAATCTGTGAAAGAATGAGGAATGAATGAACTAGCACAAGGTTGGGTACAAGTAGGAAACCCTAGGAAACTGTACCCCATAGTGTCTACCCCACTATAGCCTAGACAAGCTATATGATATAAGTTTGACATAATCCTACTTCTCATCTTCACCTGCCGTACCATCTGCCCTTTGTCTGTCTCACACTCTGATTCCTCTTCTTCTCTCCTCCACCCTCCGCCCTCCGCCCTCCACCCTCTGCCCTCCACCAGGAAACGAAGGAGCTCTACGAGCAGAAGAGGTGAGTGTCATTGCAGCGCGGTCATTGGTTGTTGGGTTTGTGTCACACAACATACGGAATAGGGCAATGAGTAATGCGCGTGTCATTCAGTGTAAACGAAATGGCTGCCTAGGATTGTTGGAAGAGATTGAAATGGAAGGGAGTTCAAATCTGCAAAGCCAAGCTGGGACTGGCCTCCTCATTTCGTTTCTCTCCTCTTCGCCCCACGTGCCTCGCCCCATGTGCCTCGCCCCACGTGCCTCACTTGCAGCTGCCGGTTCGGGGTGATCTATAGCTCGTGCACGCCAGGTACCAGGCACACCACATGAGCACGAAACGGAGCCGTGGTTTTGTTTGAGGTGCTTCTGTAACATAACTGTGCACGGGTAGACAAGTGTAGTGAGTCATGACAACAAGTGAAGTGAGTATTATCAACAGACCTGAAGCGGAGTTGTTGTGGTGAAGTGGTGGTCCGATACAACGTGGACGAGGGACTAGATACACGTGGAGGAGGGACTAGATACGAGGTTGTAGCTGCAACGCAATGGAAGCAAGAGCAATGCGATCCGACTGTATCTTGTCAGTTTTGAACCCTGGGGAAACTGAGACAGCTGCTGGTTGACACAGTCATGGCGGAGTGACACAGTCATGGCGGAGTGACACAGTCATGGCGGAGTGACACAGTCATGGTGGAGTGACACAGTCGTGGCGGAGACAGTGTGTGAACCAGGAGGTTCAATGAACCAAGGACCTGTGTGGCAAGCTGCCACTCACCTGCACCGAGAACTGCACCCGATGAGCTGAGCTGCCGGATTGGCTGCGTGCTCGCTTGCCTTTTCACATAAAAATCACCCCACCTCCATCCTCCTCACAAACACCATGTACCCCCACGTTCTCCGTGCTCACCCTCTTACCTTCCCTCTCGCTGCCTCTCCTTGCCCAGCTGCTGCTGTTCTCACCAGTTGAGGCTGCTGCGCCGGCCACTAGCAGCGCGTGGCTGAGCGGGGCGTGGCTGGCGGCAGGGCGGGTGGTGGGGGCGCTTGAGGCGGGCGTGCTGCTCTTCCTCATGCACGGCGTCCGCATGTCCGCCTCCGAGGCCATGCTGCGCACCGCTCTCATCGCTGCCATCCTCGCTGGCGCTGACGTGGCAGTCAAGGTGAGGTGTGGAAACAGCAGCATGTCTCGCATGGCCAACTGTCAGAAGTTTAGGCAGGAATGATGAACTATGGAAGAGATGGGTACAAATATCAAATCCTTGAAGAGGTTGTACCCCATATTGGCTACCCCACTACAGCCTAAACATATATAGCATACATCATCTGACACACCCCCATAGGCAAAGTGGGGGAGAGCAAGGGGTCACAAGACTAGTCAAGAGAGGCAAAGCAAGCTCAGGTAGATCACAACGTCACCACATACTCTGAGCACAAGCAAAGGGCCACTAGGCCACTTCGCGTGCAGAGATATATATGCAACAACAGCAGTACAGTAATCTCTACCTAGCAGAACAAGCAAGCAGGTATATATATAGATCACAGTACAAGCAGAGTCTAAACGAAGTGAGGAAACGTGGGCACAAGGCCGAGCAAGGTACAAAAGCGCTGATGATCACCAGGCGGAAGTGCCTTGGTGAATATATCTGCAGTGTTGGCCCGAGTGGCCACGTAGGCAAGACGAAGCTGACCACGTTGCTGCAACTCTCAAGCCAGGAAGTAACGTAGAGCGATGTGCTTCGTTCTGTGCTCTAGTCTGTGCTCCTGACACAAGGCAATGGCGGCCTTGTTGTCGACATACAGCACTGGAGGAGAACGACGCCGCAATCCCAGGTCGGTCAGCAGGTAGGTGAGCCAGCGTAACTCCTGTGCAGCCATGGCTGTGGCATAGATCTCAGCCTCACAACTGGAGCCGAGAACAGAAGACGAGCGTGTAGAACGCCAAGAAACTGAACCAGAGCCAAGGCTGAAGGTGTAACCCTGTGACGACCGCTGAGTAGCCTGGTCGTCAACCCAAGAAGCGTCCGAGTAACCAGTGAGGACAACCTCACTCCGCCCTCCAAGCACGAGCCCCATGCCTGATGTACTGCACAAGTAACGCAGTACCCTCTTCGCAGCATCCATCTGCACCTTTCGGTGCCGACCAGGAGCCACGTAGCGAGCCAGAAGGCCAAGAGGGTACGCGAGGTCAGGACGAGTGCAGGTCATCAGGTACATGAGGCAGCCAACTACCTCTGGGTAAGGACCACTCTGCTCTACGGACTCGTCCGAAGGAGACAGGCGAAACAGGACGCGACGCAGGCTCACGACGCTCAGTAAGACCCCCTAACTGCTGAGTGTAAGGAGAAGAAGCAGGCAGCGGTGAACCAGGCTATATCGGAAGACCAGTAGACGAAGGGAGACTAAGAACCTGGTGAAGCACAGAGTCAGGCGGTGGCTGAGACGACGGAGCAAAGAACTGGCGCGGCTGGACAGTGTCACCAGCACCAGCAGCTCCAGTACCTCCAGCAGCTCCAGAACCCTCAGCTCCAGCTCCTCCAGGACCAGCTCCACCAGCAGCAGCACCCCCAGAACCGGCACCTCTATTCCCAGGGTCTCCAGCCTCAGTGTCTCCAGCAGCAGCACCCCCAGCTCCAGGGTCGCTAGCAGTAGTAGCCTCCGGCTCAGCAGCACCTCCAGCCCCAGCAGCTCTAGTACCTCCAGTACGAGCACCTCCGGGACCAGCACCACTCCCAGCTCCAGTGACAGCAGCAGAAGTACCTCCAGCGGCAAAGCCCCGAGCTCCAGAAGCGCGACCCTGACGGCGAACGTACCAGTCGTGTAGCTGCTGTGAGGTGAGAGGCACACGCGGACGAAGGCGGCTACTCCAAGGAGACCGCACAACAACAGACTCAAAACCCTCAGCGCCAGCACCCGCAGCAGCTCCAGAACCTCCAGCAACAGCACCCTCAGAAGCTCCAGAACCTCCAGCGCCAGCACCCTCAGCAGCTCCAGAACCTCCAGTAGAAACGACTCCAGGAGTAGAGTCACCAGCACCAGCGCCTCCCGCAGTAGGGCCCCTAGCTCCAGCAGCGCGACCCTGACGGCCAGCGTACCACTCACGCAGCTGCTCTGGGGAGAGAGGGGGTCGACGACTAGAGTGCAGCGGCGAGGCACCAGCGGAGCGACTGCGGAGACGGCCGCTCCAGGGAGACTGCTCACCAGACTCCTCAGTGCCCCCAGGCGCAGCACCCCCAGACCCACTACCCCCAGGCTCAGCACCCCCAGACTCCTCACACTCAGGCTCAGCACCTCCAGGCTCCGCACCCCCAGGCTCCGCACCCCCAGGCTCCGCACCCCCAGGCTCAGCACCCCCAGGCTCAGCACCCCGAGGCCCGGCACCCCCAGAAGCAGCACCCCAAGCAGGACCTGAGTCACCAGTGACCTCAACCGGCGTAGGCAAGGGAGGAGGGTCTACCTGAGACATACCTGAAGAAGCAGGACCGGGAGCGGGAAGGGGGTCTACCTGGGTAGCACCTGGAGCGAGGAAGAGCGGCGGGGGGGGGGAGAGGGGCAGTGCGGTAGGGTAAGAGACGGTAAAAGGGAACCGACTCGTCAAACGTGACGTCCTGAGAGGGGAAGACACGGCGCGAGGTGGGGTGGTAAAACTGCCAACTAGGCGCGTCAGGGACAAAGCCAAGGAAGACACAAGAAACAGCGCGGGCGGAGAGCTTGTCCGCGGTGGTATCGCGGACAAAGGCACGAGAACCCCAGACCCGGAAACGCAACGCATCGCCAACCTTCCCCGTCCACAGCAGTGTGGGCGAGGTCTCCGGCAAGAAGACACGGGGCTTGAGGTTGAGCTGATGCGCAGCGTACCGGACTGCAAACGGCCACAGAAAATGGGGGGCAGCCGCATGGACCATGGAGGTACGAGCGACCTCCATGACCAAGCCAATGCGGCGCTCAGCAACCCCATTCAACTGCGGAGAGGCCGGAAGCGTGAATGACTGGGTGATGCCGTGCTCCTCACAGAAGGCTGCCAAGAGGTCAGAGGAAAACTCACCACCTCTGTCAGAGTGCAGACGAAGAACGGGAAACTCCGTCCTAAACCGCTCGCGGAGCTGGAGACGTGCAGCGCGGATCCAAGGGATCAAAACATCAGGGACCTCACCCTTGGTGCGCAAGGGGAAGACCATGGTGTAACGCGTGTAGTCGTCGACGACCAGCAGGAAGTACCGCTCGTGGCCCTGTCCACGGACGCGGGCTGGGCCCCACACGTCCAGGTGGAGAGTCTCCAGGGGAGCCTCTGTGGGAGGGAACGAGGAGGAGTGAGGAGCAGCGCGCTGCCGCCCCTCGACACAGGGAAGACAGGGAGGAGCAGGCGAGGGTGGGAGGGGAGGGAGAACCCTGGGAAGACCAGAGACAAGGACACGGCGGTGCATGCTGCGAAGGCGCTGCACCGAGGGGTGACCAAGGCGGTGGTGCCAAAGGAGGGTCTGATGCGACAAGGCGCGACACGAGCAGGGGGCCGACAACTGAC